GCCCTAAACGTAAATACCAACGCCAAACGATACCGCAGTCCTAATCCAAATATTAAGCCTTTATCATGCTTTACAAAAGTGCATGTCTGATGAATATTCCGAGTTTGTTTTTATTGAACATGTAATCATAGTAACACTCAGTGACTACATACAGTTGATGAAGTGTACATGAATATTTATGGCATCCTCAAGTGCTACATGTTTCATCATCTTTGCGTTGTTTAATTCTTATTTCTCGAAAAAAATGTTTCGATTACCTATGTATATGACTTACCTGCCTACGCAATTACCTGCTTTGAAAATAAGTTGTGAACACTGGTGCACTACTTTGCTTTCACGTCATATTTCAGCTTGAATGAGTTTGCAATTACTAAACATTTCTTCAATGCAACAAATCGTATATAACATTTAAGGCAAGCAGTAGATACCTCTTCAACCTCGTCGCGAATTACATAAATAATGTTATTCACATGATGTTCGAGCTGAGTTTTTTGCTTGAGACCAAACACTGTTCAGATTAAAAGGGCAACTGCTTATGCACGTTTATTTTAGGTCGAAGGTGCGTACTTTAGCATAAGAACCAGTTTAATAACTCCGGCATCAACTTCTAAGGTATCTTAAATCATACAGCTAAAGTTGGGAAGTGAGGTCTTAGTCATATCAGACGGAAATTATTGGTGAGCCGACAACTTTCATTAATTTTTTTAATCAAACATTTTCAACGCTATCGCTGTGCCATGCTATTCATGAAAGGGTGCTATTAGCACGGAGGGCAAAGTTACTGTGTAGACTGCTCTGACTCACATGGATCCCACACCTACTAAGATCATGGTGAAGATTTGCGCAATCATAGCACGGATAAGGATAGTATCGATGTTACTAACTGATTATGCGATCTACCAGAACGTTGGTAAGCTGTGTAACAGTATGGGCGTTAAAGTTTTTGTTTCAAAACAAATAGGATAGGTTGTCAATGCCGGACAGGTAACGGATCCCTTTTAATTCATAAGTTAGTGCATTGTTATCGTGAAAATACAGCCCCAGCGTTTAGCCTACTTTAAAATATGTCCAATTTTCTCCGCACAGGAATATACACAATTCTGTTTTTCCGCCTAATAATACAGTTGGGATGGCACCGACGGGATCGCAAGGGCTAATACGCGACAAGCGAGAGAATTCCTCGAAGCTTGGCAGTCGAGCCCGGCTAGTATAAACAGACACGTAGAGCTGGACTTACACTATACCGGTTTTCGTGCATGGTCGACTAATCTGGACCCAGCCTAAAACAACAGCAAGCTGTCCATGCTCGGTCAAGTAGAATTTCATTGACTCTGAATCAGCCCCCCGCCTCCCCCGAACACGTGGCCCACAGTCCAAACGTTAACACCTCCCTCCCCTCACCACCACAACCTATCGCCGCGGGAGTCACACCACCATAACCCTCCCACCCAATCCCCCCCGTTCGTTGTAACCTCTGCTCCCA